GCTGGCTTGGTTTAGGAATTGGCAGGGAAGAGATGCATAGTTTCAGCAGGTGCATGAAATCTGCACCCAATTAAATTGCATACTTTGACAGATGAAATGTTAAGGACAATAAGGGAGCTATTTTAAACAAAGAAGTCAAAGTTACTCTTGCAGAACCTAAGAGAATGCTGCCTTCTGGTGAGACAAATCACCTTTTAAAAGGAATAAGATAACGTACATTTCAGGGATGCATGTGCACAATTCCGTAGCAGAGCCCACAAAAGGAACTTTAATAAACACAGAATTCTGGTACTCAGATGTGCAGGGAGCACACTAAAGAGATGCATTAACCTCAGTCTATCTTCCTTTCGGAGGTTTTTTTTTTTTTTTTTTTTGGTAAATAGTACACGAAAGTCTTATATATGATAATAATTTCAGCACATTAGACTGTGTCGGTGCTGAACAGAAATAGTAATCCCTGAGGGGAAATACCTGCCATGCTATGGATGATAATGCTGCCATCTGAAGCTGCAAAGCAGCAGAAACACTGCCCAGCACGGCGGGGCGGGGAAGCGGGGGGGTTCCCAATGACATCTTGGCACTCTTCTCCTTTCTCTCCGCAAAAGAATGCGCAAGCCCCTGGCAGTGGAGACTGCAATGCAAAGGGGAGAGTGGGGAAGGATTTACAAAAGATCTGGTGGCCTATGTGATGGGTAACACTTAGGCATCAAGAGATCTGGTGAAGAAGAAAAGAGACCGAAGTAACTGAGGGCACTTCTCCACCTTCCCTCTTATAAATCATGCATTGATGTATAAGCAGCCCAAACACATAATCACGCTGTACATTTTTTAAAAACTCATAATTTTGAAAAATGTCGATCCAACACTCAGATGCGGATATGCATAAATATACACGCAAACACACACATGCTACATGTATACCACTATGGTTTTATTTATTTATTTTTTCTTTAAAATCTTATACCAGGGGAGAATGGAAACATAATAGGTGGCTTTTCTCTAACCAGTTAATTTGTGGTTGCCTGTGCTGCTCAAATATTGATGTTGTTATTCCTTCCCACCACTAGAGGGCTAAGCAGAGGGGACTGGCTTTTCTTACAGGCCCACGGATTGCTTTAACAGTAGCCCAATTTCCTCCCCAAGCCACTTTCCCATCGTTTCTTTAGTGATACCTTCTGCTGCTGATTTGCTTGCTTTTCTTGTTTTCTTTCACCTTTAATTCTTTCCTTCTTACCTCAAATGCTTCTTGAAACACTGCAGGCTCCAGAAGGCGGATGTTCCATCTAGTATTTCTCCGTGCTTTATAGTGCAGTGTTTGCAAATAGTAATAAACTCTAACAGGCATCAGGACCTGGGTGCCTTACCTACATTTTCTCTGAGCCTCACAGTGGGATAGTTGCTTCTTGTTATTTATTTTTTAGTTTTTATTTTCTTTAGGGATAGGGTCTTGCTCTGTCACTTAGGCTGGAGTGCAGTGGTATGATCACAGTTCATTGCAACCTCAACCTCCTGGGCTCAGGGGGTTCTCCTGCTTCAGCCTCCCAAGTAGCTGGGACGACAGGTGTGTGCTACTACACCTGGCTAACGTTTTAAAATTTTTTGTAGGATGGAATCTTACTATGTTGCCCAGGCTGATCTCAAACTCCTGGCCTCAAGTGATTATCCTGCCCCAGCTTCTCAATGTGCTGGGATTACAGGTGTGAGCCACTGTGCTTGGCCTGATTCTTGTTAAATTTTAAATCTCATTTCACATAAGAGGAACCTGGGGTTCAGAGATATCAACTAAGAAATAACTTTTATTTTCATGTCTTCAAAGATGGACACAAAGTGATTATTGCTCAAGGTCACATAGCAAGTGAGGATAGAGCTGAAATTCATACCTACATCTGTTTGACTTTAAAACTTATTTTGTTTCTGCTGCACTCCATCAATACAAAGAAACCAACGACTTTTGTGACCAGCTAAAACATTTTATACAAATATTAATACAGACTTGACCTGTTTTCAGTGAAGAGCAAAGGGAACTTTATTGATTGATAGTCTACCACATGTCATACCTACTATGAAGTCTGTTACTCATACCATCTCCTTCATTTAATGTCAGTTTACCATCTTTGAATATTCAGAGTTAACCATCTTTGAATACCTGCAAAGCTAAGTTGCCCATGCGGGTCTGAAATCCTTCATCTTATTCTTACTGGCGCTGAGAAGTTGTCAATTTCTGATGCATGGTTTAACACATTATTTTTGAGGAATCAATGGTTTCCAAGCAACTGGTTTGCTCACCAGCTTCAAAAGAAATACGTATTTCTAGGTAAATCAGTCTTTCTATCTGTTTATCTATTTCTCTGTCTATATACACACACATGTGCATAACTGCTCTTTTCCACTCTCTGGACTCTGCTCTCCCCACCTGCCATCCCCAACCTTCAAGCTTCTACACCGGATTCTAGGCCTCCTCATTTGTGTCTCCTTTTTTCCTTCTAGGCTGTCATAAAATTGTCACTGAAATGGGAAGCAATGAAAAGAAAGTGAACCAAAAGACTAGACGGTTCAGGCACCTGCTGTCCAAACCCCTGGAGCTAAAGTCCTTATTGGAGCTACAGAAATAACTTTTATTTTCATGTCTTCAAAGATCAACTCAAAGTGATTATTGCTCTTAAGTAATAATAGAAAAGTTTTGAATATTCTCCTTGCTATAGGGAATTTTAACAAGAGAAAAGTGTCCTAGTTCCCACATTAAGATACTTGGACCATCAAAACATCAACTCAAAGTCTTCCTACATTTCAATGACAAAAAGAAACTGTTAAGAAAATGTTTAATTTAGATAGCATATCAAGGGGAGATAAGTCAAATTGTGACCTCTAAAACAATTATAATTATGTGCTAGATGTCCACGTAATGGTTACATTGACTTCTTTAAATAATCAATAGGGACATTACATTAATGTTGATTTTGCAAGATTTAGAAAAAAAACACCTTTAGGCTAGGTGTGGTAGCTCACACCTGTAATCCCAGCACTTTGAAAGGCCAAGGCGTGGGGATTGTTTCAGGCCAGGAGTTTGAGACCAGCCTTGGCAACAGAGTGAGACCCTGTCTCTAACAACGGCAACAAAAAAAATCAGCTGGGCATGATGGTATTCGCCTACAGTCCCAGCTACTCAGGAGGCTGAGCTGGGAGGATCACCTAGGCCCAGAAGGTGGAGGCTGCAGTGAGCCTTGATCACACCACTGCACTCCAGCCTAGGTGAGAGTGAGACTTTATCTCAAAATAAAAAAAAAAAACAAAAACCTTTACTCTTTAAACGCATTTATTAAAATGTATTTTACTCCTTGAAATAATCTCAAAATTATACATTACATACTTTCAACAGTTCACCAGTAATTTATGACATTGACCCTTTGGGCAAAATTACACAGCCTCCTACTTACAACACTGTCCTTACAGGAAAATATGACACCTTTACTATCATATGTTTCCCCAGTAACATTGGCAAAGTTGAAGACTGTGTCACACTGAGAGAAGTAATACTCATAAGTCATGAAATTATGCTTTAAATAATCAAGTCAACTATATCTGAATAAAGTAAATTACTCATTGGGATGTTTTCAGAAATTTTTCAATAGAATTTTTAAGGGTAGAACATAAAACAGGCATCGTTTGTTCTCATTAAATATAGATTTTTTCCAATGTTATTTTACAGATCTATTTTTATTTTATTTATTTTATTCATATATGCCTTATATTAAAAGGTAGAAAAACAGTTGTCTTAGAATAAATCTCCTTATTACTAGTGGCATAAAAATAACATGATTGTTTTGAGTGATGCCAGAAACTTGTATAGATTCAAGATGAGATCAAAAGATTCTAAAGGGTATTCTTCAATTTTTTTAAAAAATAAAGGTGTAAGAAGCCCTTGGGCAACTGAAATAAGCTGCTTAATTAAATGATAATATTATAGGAAAGAACATTGTCAGGGGTTAAGATTCCCACAACAGATATGCCGGATAAAGCAGGATAATTATCAGAATGATTTTTGGCATAAACTTGAAATGTTGACTGCACTCATTCTTGGCCACCTCTTTTAATTCTTTAAATAGAACACTGATTTTTAAAACTCTCTAGTCTCCCTTTTTGATAGCTAGATAGCTACAGTAAACATTGAAAAGCTGAATTACTCTGTTTGACTAATACTTCTTCCAGAGCATGCTGGAAATTTGATTTTGCATTTAGTCATTAGCATTTAAAAAATAATTCTTATCTTCCTAGTGATGTAACAAAAAAGAAGATCTTGATATCTGATGCTCAATTCATTTGTATAATGCTCTTGTCCCCTCCATTAGAAATACATGGAGCTGAGATATTGTGAAGCCCCACTCATTTTAATGAGAGTTTCCTAGAATTTAACAGGTTCAAGCTGGTGGCCTCTCAAATCATCCTGGTGCAACTATGGTAGGGGCACACTCTTTAGGTAGAACGATGTGATTCTGCACAGCAAACAACAAAAAGGAGGAAGCAACACATTGGTCCAATGGAAAGAACAGGGTCTTAGGGTCAGGGCTCCATCTGACAACTTACTAAATGTGGGACGTTGGATGTGTCATTTAACTTCTCCAAATCTCAGTTTTCTTATCTCGTACCATAAGGAATTGCTGTGGGGATTAAGTAAAGTAACTCTATCCAAAGAGCTTAATGCAGCGCCTACTATGCAACAGACAGTAAAAAAACGAAGTTAGTTCTTATATGTCTCACCACTTTAATGCAGCAAGGAGACCCTGTCCTGCGAAGTGCCACTTTTGTGAGTTCCATGTTCCCACTTAGACTCCTATTTAAGGCTGTGTCTCAGCATGACTGAAAGAGTGACCATGCCATCCACAAAATCAGCTCAACCAAAGTCTGCAGCAGTATGTCCTTATCAGCTCAATGCAACAAGCATTGATTAAATGCTTCCTTCATGCACAGTACTTTCCTTTAAAGCAGTGATAACATCCCTGGAAATTTGAAGAAAAAGAGCAAGAGAAAATGGTCACTATCTTCGAATAGACATAAATTTGGGGGTGGAGGTATAGACCTATGCACTTTCCTTTTGATAGAGATAGTGAGAATTGTGTTGATGTGTGGGTATATGAAACCTATGTCTAAATTACCCATTTCTATCTAGGATTTTACTGAGAGCTGCATCATAAAGTTCCAGAAAGTTCCACTGCTGTGATACATTGCTGCTGCTCTTCCTGGATGAGAGAGTGGGTCCAGGCAGCAATACAGAAAAGAGCTTCTGGCAGGCTCTTTCTCCTGTCTGGAGTCTTCTTCTACAAGTTAATCCCTGGACACAGACTCCACTAGCCCCTTTCTCATGGACACAAGCTTCTTTTCTGTTATGTTTAGGTTTTGAGCATGATGGAACAAGTTAAAGGAACAAATGGGCAGTATTTAAAGATAACAAGCTAGATATGCCTAGATCATGGCTGACTAAAGCCAGTTGTTTTGCATTTTTAGATAAATGTCTATGAAGATCCATACCATGCATTTTTGAATGAATTAGCATCAAAAAAGTATAAAATACAAATGGTTTATATTTTTAAAATAATTTTTAAAGTCAGTGATCTGTAATCAGATCCCCTTGAAGTCTCCTACATGACAACTACATAAAAACTCTGCTTGTGATTTCTCATCAGTATCTAATTCTCCTACACTGGTGCTGGGAGTACTCTCTGAATACATAAAAAAATTGTAAGTCAACGATCCTCTGTTCTTGCTTTATGGCTGTGTTCCCTCCACATTCTCGTCTTCTAGTCACAGCACTGTTTTCTCCTTCTGCACAGCCTATCTTCACCACATCTGATCAAGATGTTAAATGTTACTCAGCATCAGCATGCCACAGACAGTTGATCTTACTTCATTCATTATAATTTAATGAATCGTGTGTTACGCGTAAGGGTGAACTCACTGTCTCGTGTGTACATCTTGATCTATTGGTGACCAGTATTCTGTTTCTGTTAACTTCATCAGACTTTGGAATCAAGTTGGGAGGCTGAGGCTTGAGGAGACCAAGATAATCCTGGTACCCCTAATGAGGGGTCAATGGGACCAGGCAGAAGGAACCCAGCCCACAGGGCCCATGACATATTGAGAAGGGCCAGCCTACCTCAGAAGTAGCCTGGCTACTCTGCTTTATGGCATGGTATAACCTGACTTTACTGAACCCCACAAAGGACTCGCTGTGGGGTTGGGTAGGGGGGATGAAAAATATCCTAATTACTCCCTGCTGATTGACTTGAAGGGAAGGAATGATAGCTTGCTTGATGCCTGGGCAGCAGCAAGGATGGGGCAAGTACAGAAGCAAGGGCTGATGCCATTCCTTGGTCACAGATACAATGTATGCATCTTCAACATGTAGTCCTGTGACATTTTGAAGAGAGTATTTAGACCCACTGTTAGCCTTCTTATTTGCATCTTCAAGTTCCTTGTTCCTCAAAGCAAATTCTGAGGTTCTGAGGTTGAACTTCTCTATGATTAGAATCCAGGCCCTGCTACTCGCTAGCTATGTGACCTAATTCTCTCTAAGGCTGTTTCTACATTTGTGAAATAGAAATAAAAACAGTTCCTTTTTGTATTAAATTGCATAAATGAACCATTTAGAGTAAATGACATGCAGTAAGTACACAGTAAATATTAGCTAGTACCATCATCTTTGGCAGCAGCAGCATCAGCAGCAGCAGACTTATAATTTAAAGACCCCAACATTTTCTGAAGACCCCAGACACCAGAGACCTGAGATGCAGATAAGGCTTATCAAACATGGCCAAACCGCCCAGGATGATTCACACCGGCATTAATGCCATTCTGCTTCATGTGGGGGTTGTGGTTATTTTTAATCACCCTTAGGGGAACACAAATTCACAACCATTTTGAGGCTATTGAATGAAATTATTTTGTAGTGCTCATATTTCATGAGTGCTTTTGTACTCATTGATTTAGAGTCGCAATCATTTTCCAAACATATCCAACAAAATGGCATCAAAAGCACAAACAAGAGAACACGACAGCCTCCCATTTTATGAAATTTTACTTGTTTATTTTACCAAAGACGGCTTAACTTGTTATAAACTACCACTTTTAATATTTTCCAGCATGAATTGTCTTCTCCTATTTTATTTCTACGAAATTCTAAAGTACTGCCTTTAACTGAATAGACAAGATTTTGCTGGACAGCAGGGGTTATGCATGACTTTTCAATCTAGGAATCAAAACAAGGAATGGTGGTGAGCTAGGAAAGGAGGAAAGAGGCATTGGATACGGTGGCATTAAACACAGACACAGTGCCTGGAGGAACCAGGCATCAGACACAACCAGGCTCCGGGGTAGCTGCTGTGATCCCTGCCTTCAGATTTTCACACCCTCGTGTGACCCTTTTCTCTTGTGTGTGAGCAGGAACTGTTTTTACTCAGTACAATATAACCAAGGGGATGGGCTGTCACTTCTGTAATTACACAATATAGGAAGACACTTTCACTTGCTGGTTAATGCAGCTAGTAGTCATGTTGGGGTGGCCTACTTGGTGAAGAATTGAGGGTGGCCTCTTGCAACTGAGGATCCTCCAGTTGACAGCAGGTGAGAAACCAAGTCCCTCAGTCCTGCAACTGCAAGGAACTGAATTCTGCTGACAATGACATGTGCTTGGAAATGGCTCCTTCCCCAGCTGGGTCTTCAGATGAGAATGTAGCCCTGGCTAACATCTTTGCAGCTTTGTGAGACACTGAAGCAGAGGATCCAGCTAAGCCTGTGAGGTGATAAATATGTGTTGTTTTAAGCCACTAAGTTTGAGGCCACATTGCCGTGCAGCACTGGAAAACTAACACACACACTTATTACTGTTAGTTACTGGCTTGTTACTTTAACATGTATATCTCTGCAGTACTCCCAATAATGTTGTGAAGGTTTTATCCACATTTTATAGAGAATGTTGCTGCTTAGGTTGTTAAGACTTGCCCAGGGCCACATAGCTACTTTGGGGTAGGGCTGTGATTCATAGAGAAAACGAGATTTTTGTGGTTTGTTTGTCTCATTTAGGTAAACTGCGTTAAGTTGGACAAATGATGTCTCTTCCTTATCTTTATATTTCAGAAGTAGAATGGAAAAGATGCTAAATATCTGCTTCATTTTTTCATTACACTGGACCTAATAGGACTGATGAGACAATGCCTTTAAGAAACTCCTGGCTCCCTGGAGAAAGGTTTGTTAATGCAGTTACTATTTGAAATAATTTTGAAGAGTTAAATTATAAAGTGAATTACTGAGGAGGTGCTTCCTTTCTTAGAACAATTCTTTCCTCTTTGTAACTAAAAGACTGCAATTTTAAAAGTATATAATGTATATCTCTAGCAATATTACACAGATAGTATTTCAATGATCATTTCTAGAAATGGACCTTTAAGCTAAACGAGTCACACTCTGGTATTTGTAATTTTTTTAAATTATCATTATTTACTGCATTGGTTCTGGAAAACCTGCAAAGACCCTATTATAGGACCAACAGGTTTGTGTGCCTGCTGTACTGTAACAGACCAATTACACTGAGACAGCAGGGTTTGTAGCAGAAAAAGACTTTAATGATTGCAGGACACTGAGCAAAGAGATGGGAGGAGGATCTCAAATCCGTCTCCTCAAGGAGTTCTGGGCTGGTGTTTTAAGGAGGAACATAGTGGAGGAGGGGCTGGAAAATGGAGGTCGTTGATTGGTTGGGGTAAGAGGGATGCAATTATCAGAACGTGGAAACTGCATTTCTTGATGAGCTAGCTTCTGGTGGGGTCCTTTACACCAGCTGATGTCAGTAGTTTTACCAGCATATAGGACCTGAAAGAACATCTCAAAGGGAAAACTTAACATTTCGTGATGTTCAGGTTGTTATCTATGGAGCAGTTAAAGGAAACTATAATTTTGTACTAGGCCTACATGATTCTAGGACAACGGGCACCAAACAACTGTGAGGAAGCAGGTCAGAGAACAGCTGACCTAGCGATTAATGCTGAATGTGCTGCAGGCTTGGATTATTTTTATTTTTTCTTTCTCTCTTCTTCCCTGATTAATTTAATAAAGTTTACAGGAGTAGTTTCAATGATAGCCTGATTAGTACCTGAAGATGCCTCTTCACTTCCCAGCTCCCTAAATATTGCTGGAGATGTTCCACTCTTCTTTTCAGCCTAGTATCCTTTGTGCTATTGACGTCAATAAAAGGATACAACAAGGGAATAATCCTGATAACGAATACTCAAAAGAATCCAAGTTTTTGACTTTGATTTCTTTAGGTTTACCAAACTGTGCCACCAAAAGAATTCAGGTAAATTGCTTGTCCAAAGGAAAAAGAAAATCTTGTTCCATCATTTGTCCTGAAATTGAAACTGAAAAAAGAAACAGAGTTGGCAGGAGAAAGAAGAGGGAGACAGCAGCTGAAACTCAGAACCAGGCTGATACTTCATATTTTAAGGCTCTGTGGGTGCACTTTCTGATGCCTTTAGAAGTCAGGTGAGGCTGATGGCTTCCTTACAGGTTTCAGAAAGTAATTCAAGCTGAAACAAAGGCCTTGGTACTTAATTCAAAAGCATTGCAACTATTAATATTGTTGCTTTTGTGGTTTTAAATAAAAGGCCATTATGTTTTACAGGATTTTATAAGGAAACAATGTGGGCACACTGAGGATTTAATTTTTTTAAATTTATGTTTCAAAAAGAATTTAAAACTTTGTGCTTTGTAGCTATTCAAAAACTGAGGATGAAATTAGTATATGTGAAATTTCATTTGCAGTTATCTTTAAGTATTTTCTTTTGTGTGTGTCCCAAAAACCTGAATCTTAATTTAGGTATTTCCAGTAAAAAATTACTAACTTTTTATGTTACTTAACTTTTCTGATCCTCTTTCCTTGTCAGCAAAATAGAAATAAAACATCCATCCTATCTACCTTAAAGGGTGTTGGTAACATAAAACTATGGTGAAGAATAAACTATTGTATAAAACATAGCAAATTATTAATATTTAGTCTGTCCCTATTTATACTTTCTTCTCTAAAATATGTCTTAAAATGGGTATCAAAAAAATGTATGACATTAGTTGGTAGGAAGGAGATTCATTTTTTCCTGAATACCCTTTTAAAACTCTTGAATTTTGAATGATAATGTATAGTCTATTAAAAATAAGTAAAGAAAATTAAAGCCAATAAATAAGTGTTTAGAAGTATTTCCTCAACTGGCCTTTCTTCTCAAGGTCAAATCCTTCAGGCCTGTCACACTGCAACAGTCGTCGCCTTGATTAAGGGTTAGGCCAGGGAGCAGTGCAGCCTCCCTCTATCCTATCCACACCTGCTCCCCAAGCCTCACACTCTGACATAGGTGTCCCCAGAAATATCTCATTTTCCTCTGCCCACATTTTTCTGACTGCTGGAAAGGAAGAAATGTCTTTGTAATGTGACTACACCCAAGGTTCTCCACCTGACTTCTCACCTCTTACTCCAGGCTTATCCACACTCAATTCTACGTTCCACAAGAGGTCTGCACTCTCCTCAGGTTCTCTCCATTTGGGGTGCCTGCCTTTGTCCTGCCAGCTCTTCGCATCCCACCCAGGTCAACTCTCACCTCTTCTCTAGCTTTTCATCCTAAGCTCCTTGCTCGCTTTTTCTGAATTCTCTTCATTGCTAATTAGTCGTGAGGCACAAATAAATCATTTTGCCTTTCAAGCATACATTTTTACCAAGAGGGTATTTGAAGAGGTACAGATGTTTCCACCACTGATAATAATCATTCTGTTCTAGGAGGTTCTAGAATGTTCTAAGTTGTTCTAGCAACCTACCAAAAACAAGTCACTTGAATCAATCCATACGCCTATTTAAGCAGAATATATTGTATGGTGTTCTGAAGACCATATTGAGAGAAATATTTATTTGGATGTACACACTCTGAGTTTTGTTTTTATCTCTTTACCTTATGACTCTGACTACTACATCTCTAAAATAGGGTAAACTATTTTTGGTGTTAGGTTTTGCTTGTAATACTCAAGTTTTTGTTTCCACCCACTGCTATAGTTATCTGGACTTGTGTGTGCACCTGGCCATAGCTACATCGATATAAATTTTATTCATGGGTGCACATTTTGCATATACCTTTGTGTAATTTAAAAATGTAAGTTATGTGCTTATACCCTGCATTCTCTATTTTAACTTCTTGGATAACACTGCCATTTTACTTTATCAATTTAAACCTACTTAACTCTACCCAATCTGCAGAAATGTCAACCTAGAGAGTCAGACTTCACAAGCTCAAACTCCCCAGGGAAGAAGGTTGAGACATTTCTACTCATATCTATAGATGTATTATGCCAATCAGGCCCCAGGGTTGACAAAATCCAATTACTTCAGCCAAAGAGAATATATTTTTATTATCTTCCAGAATCTTTTGAAAAATTGTTATTGAGTACCCACGTGCTAGACATTGTTCTAGTGACACCCATCAATGGAAAGAATAAGCAAAGTCTTGTCAAATATTTTAGGGGAACGGGTGGGAATAAAAGCAGTGGACAAGTATAAAATTATGATTTTGGAGAACAGTAACTGCTATTGCAGAACTGTAGCTGGTTGATCAGAGCCAAGAGTGACCATAGCCTCCTGTCAGGATGGGGTTCAGGAAGCTCTCTCTAAGGGGGGCAGCCCCAAACTGAGACCTTGAGTGACAAAAACAACCCAGCTACAGGATAATCAAGGAAGACCATTCCAGCTGGAGGGAGTTACTGGTGCAAACATCAGAGTGCCCAAGCATGGTAAGTATGGGCAGGAGTAGAAGGAGAGGGAGTCTGGGCCAGCCCAGGCACTGTCAACGGCAGGCTAGGGGATGGGATTTTATTCCAATGTAGTAAGAGGCCATTAGAGGATTTATACTTAAAAGTGTGCACCCCAGCTGCCCTATGAAGAATAAACTGTGTCCGCATGTGTGTGCATGTGTGTATATGCAAGAGTGGAAGCAGGAGACCAGTAAGTAACTGGGATGAGAAAGGTGATGTTTTCAAATACAATGAACATGGTGATGAACATGGACAGAAGCAGATATTCAGATGTCATTCAAGAACTGGAGATTTGGCCCGGCACGGTGGCTCACGCCTGTAATCCCAGCACTTTGGAAGGCTGAGGCAGGCAGATCAACTGAAGTCAGGAGTTCAAGACCAGCCTGGCCAACATGGCAAAACCCCGTCTCAACTAAAAATACAAAAATTAGCCAGGTGTGGTGGTGGACACCTGTAATCCCAGCTACTCAGGAGGATGAGGCAGGAGAATCACTTGTACCCAGGACGCCGAGGTTGCAGTAAGCTGAGATCACGCCACTGTACTCCAGCCTGGGTGACAGAGCGGAACTCCATCTCAAAAAAAAAAAAAAAAAAAAAAAAAGAAGAAGGACAGCAGGTATGCAGGTTTGTGTAGCAGAGATTATCTAGTATATCAAAGATTCCTTAGATGTGCCCAGCTTTAACACAAAAAGGAAGCCAAAACCCAAGTAGCACATGGATAGTTCCTTTACATCATAGCATTCCAGAGGTAGGAGGCACCTCAGAGTGGGAAGACAGTGAACCTAATAGGTGAAGTGACTTCCTCATGGACACGCAATCAATTGGCTCCACAATTGAGACTGTCTCCTCATATTCTGTCTACCTCACCATATTTGGCACCATTGCTAATATGGAAGTTGCTCTTTTGATCACATTGCAGTTGATCATCTAAAGCTGCAGGTTGCTTACCTCACGTGTCCTAAGACTTTGCGATGGAAAAGAAGTCAAATGTCTTGGCTCAGAGAAGGCATTTTAGCATTTAGCATATTACTCCACACCCCTGCGTCTATTACTGATATATCTACGTGCCTGACAACATAAGAGGAACAAAAGATGGGGGGTGGGGGCTGTTCGCTTCCAAATAACAGCTTAAAGGTCTGAAACTAAATTATTTATTGAGGCAGAGGGCTTTGAAACAAGCAATGGGGTAAGCGAAATCTTGAGTATTACACTCCATTTAATAAAAGCATTCCAATTTTGCTTGCTTTGAGAGTTCATTGGCTTTCATATGAGGAGTTCTTGACTCCCTAAAGAGCTTAGTATTTGCATCCCAGTTACCAAGGCCAGGTTGAAAAAAAACCCCAAAGTGCTTCCTGTTGACAAGAGATGAACTGGCTGATTATTTGAGACATGTTAAGCCATAAATTATTTTTAGTGCTTATAGTTCTAGAGTGGCTTATTTTTTTCTTTTTATTTTCATGCTACAGTGTGACAAATATGCTGGCCTAGCAAGGAGAGCAGCATTCTAAAGCAAAATGTATCAGAACGTTCAGCTCAGTTTTAGGGTATATGAAATGAATTCCATTTCAGACTCTTAGATAACATAAGATGTTCTTTCCAAGTGTTTTCCTTTTAATAAGTGCTGTACCCTGGAATTTCAGACTGCTATCTTGAGAATGTGGGAGAGAATCCCTAGATTTCACCATCATTCTGATAGAAATGAGCATCACCTTAGTTGGCACACTCATTAAACCTTTTCAGTGCCTACTTTTCATAATTTTTATGAGCCCGGGTCTTGCTCTGTCACCCAGGCTGGAGTGTATTGGCACAATCATGGCTCCCTGCAGCCTTAAACTCTTGGGCTCAAGTGATCCTTCCACCTCGGCCTCTTGAATCGCTGTGACTACGGATGGATGTGCCGTCAAGTCTGGCTAAAATGTTGTGTTTTTGTTTCCTCCTCCATAAAATAAGGAGGGTGCTCAGATCACACAGTCTAAGATCCCTTTCTTCCTTCTCCCAAGTAAAAATATATACTAACTATTTTAAGAACTCATTAAACATTGTGTGTGTGTCTGAAAAGAACAAGACCATATTAATGAGAAGTGTATTTTCCAACTCTTAGATTTAATCTTCTCTTCCCTTATATCTCCAAATAGCCGAGAGGAAGAAAAGTCATGACTGTATGAGCATTAACATAGGTGGTTCCAAATCACATCACAGCTGTCATTCTTGTGTCTGTCAAGGAATCCGATGAAACATGGAACAATTTCAGACTGGTTGAGGCCTCCTATGAGGTAAGAAACACTTTGAGGGAAGTCACACTTGGAGTGTGCAATAGTGCAATGTGAATTTAAACAAGGGAGCAGACTTCTCACCTAGGCTGTAGGTCTTTCTATCCAAGTAGGCCTATATTTCAGCTACTGAGTTACGAAATAATAGATGACATTTTCTTCTATTTTTAAGCCCATTCCTTGCTCTTAGGTCACTGAAGTGCAAACTGTAACCAATATATACCTGAGGTCCTGAGTGACAGTTTCTTGTCTGGATGATTTTTCTCATTTGGGTACCATGATCCTTTCTATTTTCTGACAAGCCTAATGTCTATAAAGTGCAAAGACTATAGACCCCAGTGTTCACATAGATTATAAAAATGCATTGTAATTTCAATGTTCATTCATTTATTTGTTCATGTAGCCAGTTAATCAATGGGTATTTCTTGAGCAACTACTATGCACAGAGCAATGATTTTTAATAAGAAAACATAGAGAAATGTTTCATCTTTATTTTCTTTTTCTAGAAGAAGCTCAAATACAATAGTTCTTTGATAATTTTGTATGTTTTAGGTTTGTGGAATTCAACTTTTTAAAATGTTATTCACACCGTTCAGTTGATAGTTACACTAAAACCCGAGACTTCACCACTATGCAATATATCCGTGTAACAAAAGTACACTTGTACCCCCTAAATCCATAGACATTTTTTTCAAAATAAAATTTTTTTTGAGGCCAGGTGCGATGGCTCACGCCTATAATCCCAGCACTTTGGGAGGCCAAGGTGGGCGGATCCCCTGAGGTTGGGAGTTCGAGACCAGCCCAGCCAACATGATGAAATCCCATTTCTACTAAAAAAAAAAAAATACAAAAAATGAGCTGGGTGTGGTGGCAGGTCCTATAATCCCAGCTACTCGGGAGGCTGAGGAAGTAGAATCACTTGAACCCGGGAGGTGGAGTTTGCAGTGAGCCGAGATCGCACCACTGCACTCCAGCCTGGGCAACAAGAGTGAAACTCTGTCTCAAAAAAATTTTTTTTTGAAAATTAAAAATATGTATTACTCAGAATAAACGAGTCTTCAGTTAGCATATTCTGCCCCTATGTGAAAATAGACTGGTAGGTAGGCTCTTCGGTTTCCCTCCCCCTCTCTCCCTCTAGTCATCATTTCTATTAACAAGTTCATCATAGAATTCATCAAGGTGAGCTTAAATATGTGGATTCCATAAAGCAAAAATTGAAAGAAATAAGTACCTTGCCATCAACACCTTTTTCACAGATTTTTTTTTTTTCCTAGAGCCCTTGAATCTCATCTTAAGGGCAATCCACTAAGGGAGTAGAGTAAGAGTCTGGGAACTCAGGTCCACTGCGTATGAAATTTGACTGGAGTTTTTAGTTCATTTTCAATTTTCAGCCTTCAGTTAGTTGTGAATTAAATAATTAAATACATGGAGTGTCTTAAGTAAAGTGAAGATGCCTTTCTCTTTTCTTTTCTTTTTTAAGATGGAGACTTGCTCTGTTGCCCAGGCTGGAGTGCAGTGGTGCGATCTTGGCTCACTGCAACCTCCGCCTCCAGAGTTCAAGCCATTCTCCTGTCTCTGCCTCCCCAGTAGCTGGGATTACAGGTGCCTGTCACCACACCTGGCTAATTTTTTTTTTTTTTTAATTTTTAGTAGAGATGGGGTTTCACCAGTTTGGCCAGCTTGATCTTGAACTCCAGGCCTCAGGTGATCCTCCCATCTCGGCCTAACAAGGTGCTGAGATTACAGGCATGAGCCACCACGCCGGGCCTCATTTTCTTTTAATATCTTTTTCTCATCTTACCCATTCCACTCATAAAATTGAAGCCTAAGTTAAGATCTCATCTGGACTATTTTAAAGAGTTTCAATTACTAAACTCTTTCTACTGTTATTCCGTACTCCAAGCCGCTAATCCAGGTTGCCAGTCAATGTTTCTAAAGCTTAGTAGTAATCTGATCACTCACCTACTCAAATACTTTCAAATGAGTTTTCATCACCTCCTAAGTCAAGCAAAAAACTCCTTCGTCTTGTACTTGAGGCAATAATTTGGTCCTAAACTGCTCCTCTATGAAACCTAAGAGTTCCTCAAGGCTGCGCTAGGCTGAGATACAACTTCATGTAAACAGTTGTTTCTGCTGCTGGAAAGAGCTTTTTCCCTAGCCTCTATGCTGTTGCTTTTCTCTCTTTTTCCTTTTGAGAGATCACACTCATGTGCACTGTGATCAGGCATTGCCTTGCTATGATAATAACTCCCCTGGGCCAAGAGCTACAATGTATGTCTTGCTTCTATTCCAAATTGCTTTTTTTGTTGTTGTTTTGGTTTAGTTTGGTTCGGTTTCATTATTTTCCTTTTATTTTTAGTTGACCCATAATAATGGTACACATTTACGGGGTACAGAGTGATATTTCAATACGTGTATAATGTGTAATGAACAAATCAGGGCGATTAGGATATCCATCACCTCAGACATTCATGATTCCTTTCAAAATCCTCTGTTCTAGATTTTTGAACATATACAATAAATTATTGTTTGCTATATTCACTCTACAGTGCTATACAACCCCAGAACTTATTCCTCCTATCCAGCTATAATTTTGTATTCATTAACCAGTCTCTCCATATCCACCCCACCCCCACTTCCTAGCCTCTAAAAACCATACAAATTGCTTTCTAAAAGAGCTTGTGTGTTTGTTTTTCTTTTTTTTACACGAAGCATTGTTTTTCCCCAAAAATAATTTTTTGGTCGATTTTTGTTTATTGCAAAAGCAATCCATTTTCATTCCAGAAAAAGAAAACAAAGATAAAGAAACAGAGGGAAACAGAAATCATCCATAATCCTACTCCTTCAAAGACAGCTACAGTCAAATTCTCATGTAACTCCTTCTCTTTTTGCAAGAATATTATACCCTACAAAGGTCTCTAATGTGGTTTTAAAATACTACTAAATCACCCAATATTACAAATTAAAAAAACAAAAAGAATAGAAATTCCGCCAAAGAGTATACTTGATATCTACTTTTGATGATTATTTTCTTATAAAAAGAACATAGCCACATAATTTTACATCCTTCTATACCATCAAAGTTTACTTTAATCTTTGCGTTTTTGTGCGTAGTTTTTATATTGAATACATATAAACATGCTATAGGAAATGTACTGTATAAGAATCAATGCTATTTAAGTAGGTAACTGCAAAAGTCAGTGACAATTCCTAATTAGTGGGAAGAGTAGAGAAGCAAAATGTCCCACTTTAAGCTGAGAATTTTATGATCTTCTATAAATAAATCCTTTTGACGCATCGGCATCATACGCAGCAAAATCACAGAATGACAACTCTAATGCCTACCCACTCAGCCAACTGGGATTGGTTAAGGTTAGGTAGGTAATCAAAGCCCACAGCTATTTCTTTGTATAGATAATTCTAGCTCTGATTAACCTGACAATCACATTCCAAAATTAAGTTTTTTGCTGCAAAAGAAGGATGTTAAACAATTGCTGAAAACCAAAGTGACTAATGAGTATCAAAAAAGCCCAACTAACAAACCATAATTTCTCCAAATATTCTTTGTATTGCAAGCCTCCCTCACCCTCACATAAGAGAGAAAAGAAAGCTCTTCTTGTCATTTTCATATTATCATGTAATGTGGTTGAAGGAAATTACATTAAAATTCACTTCCGCTTTCTTTATATCATCAGTATGCTTGCCAAGGGCCAGTCTTTTCAGGAAAAATGGATAATTTGAAGCTGGTATGTGCTTCCACAAAAATACTAGATTTTGTCAGCTCCAAGAATATCTGTCATAAACATCAGGTTCTGCCAATCCCAGTAAATCGGATTTGCATCTGTGTGAGGATTTATGTTGCCTTTTTCATGAATAAAATACCTCTCTTGATTCTGTCTATTGACACTGATGTAGTGGTCATTTCAAATTATCTTCCAGAGGTAGATTCTCCATACACAGGCTTTCATTTACATGGATATATCTTAAAATAAGCAGAGCTGTATTACTTAAGTTAAAATGAGTGGCATCTTTGGGTTAGAAGGCCTTTGTGTAAGCTCTAAGAGGTCTATAAAATCCTTGAAATGGTACATAAAATGTAATGTTATGAATCAGTGCATTTTTCTGGGGATGGAGTCTATAGATTTCAACATTTTCTCAATGGATTTGTGACCCCAAAATGTCTAAGAATACTTGCCCTACATTAAATACAACTGAGCGAATTTGCTTTCTTATCTATGTGGTGAAGTTATAGCAGCTATTTGGGAAGTCCTTACCTCTAAAGTAATGAAGTAAAAAACAGAAAAAGTCCTTTCAAGAAAACTCCAGGAATGTTAGCCAATAACATTATTTCAAGATGGGTCGTTTTCTTAAATAATCAATAGCATAATGACTATCAGCCTTACGCACAGAAACAATCAGGAAGGATGACAAGTGAGGGAAAGTGGGTATCCCACAGAATTGCCTTTATTTAGGTGGTTATTAGGATGTTCTTAGCATTCAGTTCTTAAGACTGTTAAGAATTAGTCCAATGGAACTCGTTGGTCCTTCTACAGTCAGTCAGGGTGTCGTGGAGAAAGTGATTCATTGAACAAAGTGTGTCCATAATGAGTCCCAGGTGAAATCCCTGCTTGATCTTCATTTCAAGATTAATCGTCCTTAACCTGAGTTATTATTTCCTTTATGTTGATTTATGGACAATGTGAATTGTGCAAACCTAGGAGTTCTTTAGTACGGTATATTTAAGATGCACTGCAAGGGATTTTTATTATTATGATTAAAGTAATGAAGTTTGTAAATTACATACACAAGATATAAATTAGAAAAGATTCAAGGACACCCTATAACAATGTCACAGTAACTTGAATTCCTGTGTGCTTTCTTCCTGAAAGGCAGAAAAGTAGAATAGCAAGAGGCAAACTGGCTACAGCTATTTCCCCATGAAGACGATAATTTCGCAGGTAAAAGTCATCTGTTCTATAAGTTGAAGTAGGGAAAACATTGGGAATTGTTGCTAAATTTGATCAAGTTTTTAATTTTCCTAGCCAATTATGTAACCACATCCAAAAAAGACATGTGGGTCATCATGATATAAATGTTTAGTCTCCCTGGCTCTACTTTGCCCAATACTTTATTTTTACTTTTTTGTGTGGGGGGAGACACACTTTAAATTCACATTATCTTATTGGGGAGTATATATCTTTGTAAGCTCTTAATTCCTTTCCAGAAAAAAAGTGGTAAGTACATGAATGGAAATACTGAGTTAAATATACCCTCTATTGGCTTCCTTGGTTCTAAGTCACTAAGCAAAATGTCTGCATTTTTGGAGTTAGCCATGGGGAAAAATTACTTTCAGTCTCTACATTGCAAAATCTTGTAATCTATGTGCACGCACAGAATCATACTGAGAAACACTCCCAATCTATTAAAATGATTACTTTGTTGTTTTTTTTTTTTTTTTTTTTTTTTTTTTTTTTTTTTTTTTTGAGACGGAGTCTCGCTCTGTCACCCAGGCTGGAGTGCAGTGGCCGGATCTCAGCTCACTGCAAGCTCCGCCTCCCGGGTTTATGCCATTCTCCTGCCTCAGCCTCCCGAGTAGCTGGGACTACAGGCCCCCACCACCTTAAAATGATTACTTTAAATACAAACAAAATCGTAATCTAGGAAAAACACATGGAGTTGTGAAAAGTCTCCTTCTAAATGTTTCTTTTCTTTTCTTTCCATGTGCTATTTGTAATGCTTATCTCCTTGTGAGTGGAGAGTTTACCAAGAGTAAAGGTGAGTTTGGGAAACCTGAATTTCATGAGATGTAGATAGGAAAGGCAGTACCCTAGCAGATGAGAATGAGACAACCAGACACGCAGAGGAACTGATGGTGAAGGAAAGAGCAAAAATGGAGACAGGAGAACACTCTAGAAAGAAATTGAAAGGAAGAGTCTGGTAGAGGGAAATGACTGGGACAGGAAAAAGGCAGGAAACAGGCCTTTGAGATTCACTGCTTCTTTGGGTACAACTTCCACAATCCAAACACAAAAACAAGAACAATGAGATTGATCATCACAACCAGCACCTGACCTTCAAAATACAAACTGGCTGTATTAACACAAACTTAGGTTTTTAAATTAACTTACTCTATTCATTTGTAATATGCTGGTCTGTCTCCAAATAACATGGAGAAACAACACTAAACAAGAAGCCATCCTTTCATTCAGAAATGAGCAGAAAAATAAAAGAAATAATAAGAACTAAGATTTATTAAGTGCCACCATGTGCCCCTTACTCTTCTAAACATTTTTTTTTTTTTTTTTTTTTGAGACAGGGTTTTGTTCTGTTGCCCAGGCTGGAGTGCAGAGGCACACTCATAGCTCTCTGCAGCCTCAAACTCTGGGGCTCAAGCAATCCTCCTGATTCAGCCTCTTGAGTAGCTTGGACTACAGGTGTGCACCCCCACACTCAACTAATTTTCAAATTAAATTAAATGTGTGTGTGTGTGCATGTATGCACACGTGTGTGGAGATTGGGGTCTTGCTATGTTGCCCAGGCTGGTCTCGAACTTCTGACCTCAAGTTATTATCCTGCCTTGGCCCCTCAAATTGCTGGGATTACAGGTGTGAGCTACTGCTCCTGGCCCTTTTCTCAGCACTTTAAATATAAGAACTTAATACCTTTTCCATTGATTTTACAGATGTGGAAACCCCAGCACAGACAGCACAAGTCACCTGCCCAAGGTTACTGCAGTAGTGAGCCAGGATAGAGCCCCTTTCAGACCCAAGTACTTTGGTTGCAGAATCCTTGCTCTTCACCACTACCCTCTGTGTTAGACTGAAACACACATGGACAAACTACAGATTAAAGTTAACTTCCTGAAATATCAGGACCTAAGTATTAATATATCAGTAGATCCCATTATGACATGGTTGAGAAGAAATGAAGTGTGCTGTGAAAATAGAGCTAGGAAAAGAACAACATTATCTACTTTCTTTCTAGCCTCCATGCCTTTCTTCATTACTCGCTCTAAACTTTCTGAATTTCATTCTTAAGTCATCTCCTTTCAGAAAGGTAAACTAAAAAGTCTTTATATGGCTTTTCTTTCGTTAACAGTGTGCAGATTTATAATGTCATTAGGGACATTAGGTAGGCCAGCAGTCCCTAACCTTTTTGGCACCAGGGACCAGTTTCATGGAAGACAATTTTTCCAGGGACCAGGGTGGGGGGATGGTTTTGGGATGATTCAAGTGCATTACATTTATTGTGCATTTTATTTCTATTATTAGTATGTTGTAATATATAATTAAATACAGCTCATCATTATGCAGAATCAGTGAGGGTGCTGAGCTTGCTTTCTTGCAACGAGACGGTCCCATCTGGGGGTGATGGGAGACAGTGACAGCTCATCACGCATTAGATTCTCATTAGGAGCACGCAACCTAGATCCCTTGCACGTGCCATTCATGATAGGATTCTCGCTTCTGTGAAAATCTAATGCTGCCACTGATCTGACAGGAGGCGGAACTCAGGCAGTAATGTAAGTGATGGGGAGCGGCTGTGAACACAGATGAAGTTCTGCCTGCTTGCCCATCGCTCACCTCCTGCTGTGCAGCTCACTTCCTAACACATCACAGCCCAGTACCAGTCCCTGGCCCGGGGGTTGGGGATCTCTGAGGTAGGCAATAGAATTTTCCTCCCAAAGGAAGGAAAAATGTAATGCAGGAATGTATGAAATCAGTATGTGGTCACATCCCAACGAAGCAGTGAACGATCCCAGTAGCTAATGAACTTGAGTTTATATTTGTTTGCAGAATAGAGGAAATGAATATGATGAATTAACACTAAGTAGAAGCTTCTAAATTGGCAGCAAATGACTTCTGCCCCATTATAAAAACAGACCAACTGACAGAATCAAAATGTAGAGTGAACCTGAAGCTCCAACTGATAAAGGGATTTTATAAAAATCAGTTAGCATAATTCAATACAAAACTGTGTTCTGAAACTGTAAGAGGGTCATTTGGTTCCAGGATATTCACCGGAACTCCAATTGCTATGAAAATCTACAAGACAGATCTGTCCAAGTCCAGAGATGGGCTTGCTATGTTTGTAATAACCAAGAAAATACAGTTAACCTTTAATTTTTTTCACTTCACTCAAAAATTCCACGAGTCTTATTTGTTTTTGAACTATTGGAACATTTCTTATATTTTATTGTTTTAAAACTCACTGTTCACTTAATGAATGGGTGCTTTCAAATTAACTGCTTGAATTCACTGTGTGTTGATTTTAATAAAGCTCATTTAAAATATCAAATTAAGCACTCACCATGTGTTATTTCTTATTCTAAACACTTTAAATATATTGACTTATTTACTTCCTTCCCAAAATCTTATGACTAAGTGACTTAATCCTCCATTTTGCAAATGTAGAAATCTAAGCACGTAGAATGTAAGTAACTTGCCCCTGGTTACGTGGGTGGTAGGTGACAGAGGCCCCATAATTAGGTGATGTCTGCAGATAAGTAGGTTTTGCAATTTTGCCTCGATATATAATTCTTTTCTAATCGAAGCCAAGGTGCCCATTACCACAATATTGTTCAGTAAATCTATGAAGGAGGCACCATGGGGTTTATTTGTTGTTACTGCTAAGCCCACTCATATCCCTGACCCAGATGTTACTGTTAAAGGACTTAAAGAGTAAAATCAAAAGGCATTGTCTGCTGCCCTAACCTCTCTTGCAAACTTCCTCCGTGGCCTTATGGCTCATCTACCTTCTCAGAGGTAACAAAACAAAACGAAAATCCTCTCACTTTTGACCTCAGTCTCCATGCATGTTAAATGATGTTAAAGCTGTGGTTTGGGGCTGCTGTTGGCTAGAAGCCTATTCTGGAAAAGAAAGCAGGTCTGGTTCTGTTTTTTCCTGATGGACTTCTGTCCCTCCATCCTGCCCTTGCCCTCAACCTCCAGCCATACCCTTGCTAGATGCCCCGACTCCTCTAACACTTGGAAGAGCAGGGAAGGGAGAGAAGGCCTGGGACGAGGAACGTATTCGTTGCTTAGAACTCTTAGGAGCTGGCTGTGGTTTCTCCTGACCGTAGCAGACACTTATAGTCAGCTCTGACTCATGGAGGGCATGGTGGATTGTCAGGCATCTCCTAGCATCTGGCTGGGACCCAGCCCTCATTCGTGTGGTATCGGTCCCTTGTGCCTCCCTGACTAGAATGTCTGGCTGGCTCCTTGTGGCCTTCCCTTAGGTCTCTGGTTCTTAGAAGTCCATCATCACACAGGTTCTCTCTGCTGGGGACTCTGTCCTTCCAGGTGGCTCTCTCTAGCAAAGATCATGTGGAACAGCTCCAGGCCAGTTTCTATTTCTGCCAATGTCTCCTCTTCTCAAAACATACACCTTTGACCTTTAGTCAACAGGAGTCCAGTGACTCCAAAACCTCTGTTGTGCTGCCACAGCCAGGTTCTTGTCCCTTGTATTTCCAGACCTGTGTCCTCCAGCAGCCCAGAGTGTTCTACCAACACCACAGGCCACATGATAAACTCCCCTGGGGGTTTCTTAAAGCTCCTCTTACTTGGCCCCAGGCTGAAGGGATGTGTTTGAACTATGGTCTCCTCATGGGGCTTACAATTAAAATGATTTTCCCCAAAGTTTCCTTTCAAGGAGTTTTCAGAATACTGAACAATATTTACAAAGACGCAGTCAAGCCTGCGACCCAAAGTCATTTGCTCACGGCAAAGATGCAGTCAAGCCTGCGACCCAAAGTCATTTGCTCACGGCAAAGATGCAGTCAAGCCTGCGACCCAAAGTCATTTGCTCACGGCAAAGATGCAGTCAAGCCTGCGACCCAAAGTCATTTGCTCACGGATCTGGGCTGGAATTTGGAACAGTTCGTGTGACCTTTGACAACTTATTTAGCCTCCCTTCTTACTTCTAAATCCAACGTGCTAAAAATATCTAGAGATGTTTTAGAAGTTGACAAAAACATTTCTAAAACCCTTAACCCAATGTCCTGGCCCAGAGTAGAAAGTCAATAGATAACATATATTATCATTTTTAAAAACCTTAATTTTTTCCCCACAGAATATCTTGTGAGTCCCTTCCGTTCATACAGAGACACTGAAAGACTAAATGACTGACTACATATTGGAGCGTAGGATGATAGAGGCATGGAGCTTCCTGGGGTTTCAACCTGCGGTTTAGGAGCTGAGCCACATTCATTGATGCTTAACTTCTCTCTCTCTCTCTCTCTTTTTTTTCTTTTGATATGGAGCCTCGGTCTGTCACCCAGGCTGGAGTGCAGTGGCACGATCTCAGCTCACTGCAACCTCCACCTCCCGGGTTCAAGCAATTCTCCTGCCTCAGCCTCCTGAATAGCTAGAATTACAGACGTGTGCTACTATGCCAGGCTAATTTTTGTATTTTTTAGTAGAGACGGGGTTTCACCATGTTGGCCAGGATGCTCTCAAATTCCTGACCTCAGGTGATCCAACTGCCTCGGCCTCACAAAGTGCTAGGATTACAGGCATGAGCCACCGCGCCTGGCCCATGGTCAACTTCTCATGCACTTCTCCTTTATATGTGAGTATGGAAGACACAAATACATTGAATAACCACATTGGTAGACCTCAGAAAGATTTTGTGTCTATCCTACACAAAAACAAGTAAACTAAAGGTCCTTCCTGAAAATCTTAGATCTCCATACCAGGTTTTTCAGTGAGAAAATATTTGGAAGTGGTTTGAAAAGGTGAAAGTGATAAACAAAAGTAAAGGCATTGTTCTCATTTCTCAACAGCACCTAGGGCAGGTTTCTTTTTGTCTATTTTTCCCTTTCTTGGGGAGCTCGGTTTTGGTGATGGTAATGATGATTTTTTAAAAATAAAGAGTTTATATTAACATTCTCATATCTTAGCATCTCAGCTTCTTTTCTCAATCAGAAGAGGTACACTTGAATATGTTAAGTTTGAAACAATAACAAATTCAAGTTTTAAATTAAATGTCTCGTGCTTTGATTTCTAATTAATTTCTGTTTTCCCTTCCCAAAGTAGAACCTGTGCATTTGTAAATCTCCTGGTTGAGTAACGCTTAGGTAAAGACACTCAAAGTATACAAGGCACTCCAAGATAAGAGAGGATGAGAGGAGAAAGCAGAGAAGGGAATGGAGAAGAGGGATGTTATATAAAGCATCTCTGCTCTGAAACAAGTTTTCATTGTACTTAGACCATTAGAAATACTAGTTGGCTGGGCGCGGTGGCTCACACCTGTAATCCCAGCACTTTGGGAGGCTGAGGCGGGCAGATCACGAGGTCATGGAGATTGAGACCATCCTGGCTAACGCAGTGAAACCCCATCTCTACTAAAAATACAAAAAATTAGTCAGAATTGGTGGCACACACCTGTAGTTCTATCTCCTCGGGAGGCTGAGGCAGGAGACTTGCTTGACCTGGAAGGCGGAGGTTGCAGTGAACCGAGATCCCACCACTGCACTCCAGCCTGGGTGACAGAGCGAGACTCCATCTCAAAAAAAAAAAAAACAAAAACAAAAACAAAAAAAACAAAAAAAACAAGCAAACAAACACAAAACTTGTTTACCGATGAGTGAATACTCAGTATTTACGCCAAAGAGGTTAGGGAGGTAATACATGATTTACACTTGTATGCAATAATCACCCCCATCCCATTCCTCCATATAGTTAAGTTCTGAGTTTTTACTTTCTCTCCCATGTTTGAATCAAGTGCTGCTAGGGTGTGGAGTTGTTTCCTAGGAAATCAGTTGCTACATATTAGGCAGCAGCAGAAAGGAAGTAATCCATGCTTGGGGTGATTAGTCTCTAAATAACTGTAAATTCTGGTATCTTGATAATCCCAAGAATAAGCTAGAATGAGGATGGTTACTGAACTGGAATCGAGGATACTTGACCCATAGAAGTGGCTTTCCTGCTCCCATCTGATGTTAATTACTCATCCTAAACTCAAATTAGTGAAACAGACCTGCATCTCTCACTCCTTTGAATGATTATGGACATGACCTTTTTAAAGCTAAAAATAATAATATCATCTCTATACAGATTTTTAAAATTACAAATCACTTTCCCAAACGTGATTTCATTTGATCATTAGAACAACACTTCTTTGGATAGACAATAATTCATATTTCCATTTTATGGAAGAAAAAATCGAGACACAGTGAAGTTGTCTTTATTGTCCAAATTCACAAGTAATAAAGGGCGCATTAGGAGGAGGAAGCAACAGCTTTTCCTAACTCCTACATTACTGCATTAAGTGTGATGTTACCACCTGTATCAAATAAACATCCTGTCTGGTTGAAATATATGAGAGACTCAGACCAGCCGATTGAGCTGCTCTAGTGTTCACCACAAGAGCTACTGTAGAACAAAAGAGCAAACTGAATAACTCCATGAAATATTTTGTTTGCAGAAAATAAAGCAATACGTTGTAATTGCAGAGAATTTTCCTTTCACAATTACATAATGCCCATTCTCTGACTGTCACTCTAGGATATTAAATCAGGAGCCCCAGAAGACCTATAAAAATCCCTAAAATTCAACAAAAGAAAAGCACTATGGTATGGAAATAGAGTGGGAGATGAGACACACTGATCAGTTGGAAGATGCCGAGGTTTTGGCAGTGGAATGCCCAGTGTTCATGGTCTTCAAGTCACCATGAGTCAATGCTTTGACTGAGAAGTTGCAAAAGGTGCAGTTGTAGTGTTGTTTTGTTTGCTTCAAATGTTTTCCAAACTCTGTGCTTTATTTCCAGCTCATATCTCCTGCAAAGACACTTCTGGCATTTCCTATGCCTGCATTTTCTTGAATAAACATAGAAATACAGAACTGCTGTACTTTCCAACAGTTCCAAATAGTAAAAAGGCAGCTGACTTGTGTGGAGAATTCTGGACCAATCTGTTTTGGCTACAATCACCTGGGAAATTTTATACCTATGTTGGTATGGGTGAGAGGCCAAGAATCAGATGCAGATAATGACTCTGCATTTTAAGAAGTGATGTCCTTTTTCCTAAAGGTTTTTTTTTTTTTTTTTTTTTATTGGAGCAAAGCTGTCAACTCATTAGAGAAAATCCTAAAGAATTTTTTTCATAGCTGTGTATGAACATGGGAAGGACTGGCCAAT